AAAATGTTGCAGCATCCCATTATGTGTCACTAATTACTATCTAATAAATTCCTTTTAAAATATCTTTTTAAAGTTTTTACAAACGAATTATATTTTTTGCTGAAACATAAGCATATTTTTACAGAGATTATTGGGCTGCCCTAGGAATCTTAGTACCCAAATCCCAACCCAGCATTTTGCCATATACCCTGACTCAGTATTGCAATGACAAAAAACATTTTAAAATATTCTGGTGGGGGTAGGGCTCAGTGAGTTGAGATTTTGCTTCAAAAATATCCATCCACTATGCCCAGAAGACTGCTGTACCCGGCTTCCTATGAGAAAGGAAGGCTCAAAATTGAGATAGGTAAGAGCTGAAGTCTTGAAGACTCCTGGGAGAAGGCTGAATATTCTTGTTGCCTGCATGCAAAGCTCAACAAGAGGGTCTGCCTATTTCTTCTTAGCACTTTTTGGCCCTAGGAAGTGAAAAGGTGCCCAGGGAGAACAAATCAGTGCAGCAATATCAGATAGAATAAGAACAAACTGGAAGTTCCTTCCCCCTCTGGTCATAGCAGACTACAGGAGGCTTCCAAGTTGCCCGAAGTAAAAGATTTTGAGAGCAATTAAGAGATAGGGACAGTTTTTGTCTGGTTGACAACAAGTCTGTTGTCATTCAGACTGGTTTTCCTGGATTAAGGAACAGGGGGTCAGATGCAAGTGTCTTTTTATATTGCCAAAGATGAGGGTTTTTTTCTGTCAAATGCTCATGCAAATCAACATTACCGCTAACACTGCAAGTAGAAGAAAAAAGGCAGAGAGAAAAAATTGTGGACATTTTTCTCAAAATACTCAGCTATCTCAAGGCAGCACCACTAATTAAGAAGCAAGTCAGCTTTCATTAATAGATTTATTTTTAAGGCAGGGATGCAAACAAGAAATGCAGGCATGACAGATGCATGCCTTTGCTCCACTTATTCTACCAGTAATAGGAGTTACAGTAAACAAACTCAACTATAAAATAAATGCATCAAGGCATAAAGATGAATTTATGTGCATCACTGGGAATGTAGTAATGTGAAGTAAAAGACAAAGTTAAAATAAAGATGATATTTCAAATCTTAGAATAAGCTAAGAACAGTTATATTTTCAAAGGACACGCTGAAATGCACAAATAAAAATAGACTTAAATTATGAATTCACAAAAACAGAGCCATTTATGGACAACTGATAACAAAGGCTCAGGAGAACCAAGAAGGTAAGACAAAAGACTAGTGGAAATAGCACAGACAGAAAGGGACATAAATCAAAATGAAGATCATAACAAAAAAAAAATATCACTGGTAGGGTCAGCTAGTTGCTCTGACCCATTAGAGTTCCTGCTGTAGGAAGCAATCCAGATGTTCCAGCATGAACTATCTCTAAAAGCTGCAACATCTGTAGGAAAGACAGCCAGGAGTACAGATTTCAGTAGTCTGTGCCAGGAAGAACAGCACAGGGAGAGTAAGGAGCAAATCTTGCACCTCAGTTTGCAATAGCACATTTTGCAGCTTGGCAAGCACCACATGGTACACATATAAATCAATTCCTATTTCCAGTCATGGACAGGGCTGCAGCAATAGCTTCCAGCAGAAACATAATTATATGTGGGGCCATGTATTTAAGATTTATTGCTTTCCCTCAATTGTGGAAAAACTGAGAAAGACATCTTTTTAACCAGACAAGAGAAGATGAGGCCATGTGTACTACACAGGGAATTATTAACTGATTATCATTTTCCTCAACATCTCTAACTATAACACTGTACACAGCATATGAATACATAATTATATATAAATGCAAGTTTGTTAGCTACCAAAGACATAAATAATAGTATATTTGGACCTAATGGATTTTGTAGAATATATGGACTGAAACAACTGCTTTATGCCAATTTCCCTTCAAGCTGATGAAAATGTTTCAGGTACCTAACTGTGTTTATATCATCAGAATGACTGGTTTAACATTACTGAGGACAGGCATTTTTAAATCAATATCTCAGCATCACACACAAATTCCTTGAAGGGTTTAAAGACTGATGTTATTTGTAAAACTTGCACCTCCACCCACAAATTACAAAATCTTGAAATTATATAGATGTCAATACAGACATACTAATAAAAATGCTAAACCTAACACTCGTTTGATTTGCCTAAGCATACTGTCCCTGGACTTCTATAACTGCCAGCTGAGACATTCTTCTTTATACTTTCACATACTTATAATATCCCGTTCAGTCTATTTAAAATAGTTAAATCACAGCAAATAGCCTATTTAAAACCACAAAGAAAGGCAATGTCAAGCACAGTACCCGAGGGGACAACAATATGTATGTCCATCAAAGTAATTTAGATTTTTATTCTATATATGAGTCTTCATTTAAAAGTAAGCCCTGAGGGAACAGGCATTGTCTTTATCTTGCAAATACAGGGAAAATTCAGAAATATAGTTAAGCTGAAGACATCCTATAGAAGGCAAGATGTTATTTGTGTCTGCCTTCCTATAAAATACTGTTTAACAGGAGCTACTGTACATATTCTTTGGAAAAAGAAAGATGTGTGCTTATGTGGGTTTGTATTTATAATAACTGGCAAGAAGCCAGAAAGGAATATCCATCAATAGGCAATACTTTCCTCAAGAACAAAATTAAAAGGCGGGAGGTCTTTTGTCATGCTGGGAGAGCATCAATGGCTTAATCCCACAGGTTAGTCCTAGAGAGCCGAGACTAATTTATTGCTACTGGAATATAATTGCTCAACTGGAAGCTTTTAAAATGGATTTAGGGATCACATAACCACTGATTCTGAACAAACAGTGTCCAAAAGTCTGACTAAAAGTGAAATACTGAAGGACCTCTAGAAGAAGGGGCTGGCAGGGAGAGAAGGCTAATTACTATAGCTCGACTTAATCCTTAGAAATCAGCTGTGGATCCAAAGAGACAACTATGTCCAGAAGCTAAAACCAAAACACGGTGAAAAAGTCTCAGATCCCCAACTGCATAAGTCAACAAACTGAGTACAGCACAACAAAGCATTAAAGTGAAGTAGTTATGAAATATCCATCTTACTTCCTCTGAAAAAAAAGGGCAGCACACTTTTAGTTTGGCATGCTGGGGAAGGTCTGGGAATTTTTAGCATATGTGACTGGGTTTCTGTCATCCCAGCTGAAGAAATCACTTTCATGGGCTATTTTTAATTCAGCCTTGAGAGCAGGTATCACTCTGAAACTCCAAGCAGGCTGATTCATTCATTAAAATGGCAGGACCTCAAGTCATCATGCCTGGTTTTAGTAATTACTGCATGATTATGATTAGTCTTTTTTGCTGGCCTGGCAAAAGAATCTTCTAAATATATATAACTGATTTTCATCAATATTATTTAAGAGAAAAAAGTTAATTGTTCAATGGGATTGCTTATGTTTTGTCTGCTGATGGAAGTTTCATCTGCTCCAACTTCCAAATTTTTTTTTCTTTGCTCCCCCCCATCCCCCCAACTTTCATTAAATTAAATTCCATTGGGAATTTAAAAAACTCGAACCAGCAGTACACAGGATTCTACACTTAGCTACTCAATAAATATTTCTAATGTGTCTATAAGCTTCAAAGGTGTTTGCATATCAGACCTTGAGGTACACAGCACTGCAGCCTTGGAGTAAGACTTACAATTCTGAAGCAGCATGAAAAATCTTAATAGCCAGTCTTCATTTATCCCAAAACTCAGAGAAATGAAATTAAAAGTATCCTCATGAGAAAATGAAACACAACCCCCTTGTTTAACAAGCACTGAAACTGAACAGGGGAAGAAAGCTCAGAAGTTTCTGGGGTCAAAAAAAAAGGTCCTACCTCACCCCCTTTAGTGCATACTCATGGTCTGTGAGTGTGTTTGTTTGGTTTGGTTTGTTTGGTTTTTTTCCAAATATATGCAGTAAGGAAGAATTTTCCTTATTTTTTTTAGATGGCAGTAATTCTTATTGAAATTCATATGTTGTAGATGCCACTTTTCATTCACAGAACACAGAAAATTAATGAAGCTGCATGATGTGCAACAATGATCAGCTATTGCAGAAGAAAAAATACTTCCTCTTTTTAAACTAATTTTCCTCTTTTTAAAACCAAAATGGCATTCTGGCTTTTTCAGAAAAGTGAGTGAGTTTTCATGAACTGCTACATTTCAGTAAGTTACATTCTGGAATAAAGTTCCCAGTCCAAGTTAAGACTTAAACACTTCCAAAGTAGAACAACAATGGGACTGATGTCCAAGTGCAAGACAATTGTAACAAATATCATCTGAGTGATCTATACACACACAACACATTTTGCATGTCTGGTTGGCTTCCATTTCATGCTAAAGTCATTTGGTTGACTTCCCAAATAGTAACTGGATCAAGTCTCTACTCATCTATCTTCCCATTAAATCCTGCTAACAAACTCTCTTTCCTGTGTGATGATTTTCACCATCTACCTTAGAAGGAAAAAAAAAATTCAAAAAAGTGAGATCAGCTATGAAAATGCTAATCTCATCCAAGAAAGTGTGCAAAAAGATTTTATATGTTCATATAAAAAGCAGTACATTCAACTAATACAATTAATTACAGTTCCCTCAAACTTGATGAACCCACACAAACTTACTTAACTGAAGATCTAGCACTGACAGCCTAAAACATGTTTACCCTGGGGTTTTAGAGCAGTATTGTCTTAAGAGCAAATGTTTAAATGGAGACGAGGGATTACCAACACTGTTAACAGCATTCTCAGCATTTGGCTCTGAGTCAATTTTACAAAACTCAGAAATTCTATTGCAGGAATGCTCAAATACTAGAATTTGTAATTATTTTCAAAGAAAACAAATATTTTAAACTACAGTTCATATGCCAGGCATTTTTCCTTTAGCTAGCAATCTGTTTCTATGAAACAACTGACATGACATTTTTTTGCAAAGTTACTGCTACTGCATTTGCCTTGAATGTGTTGTCTTTTTGACTCTTACCTTCACATTCTCTGGATGAAGCCCTCCAGGGTGTTTGTCCATGTACTGACATAAATCAGTGTGCTAAAAGAAAGTCAGATGGAGAAAACTATATTAATATCCATATGACTGCAGTAATAAATAACCCTCTACTTAGGAGTGGACATAACAAATGGAAAATATGATTTTTTTTTCAGCCACACGTGCAAACACACATTTGTACCTTTACACATTTAACAGCCTTGATAACTGATATGATTATTCAACAAATGTAAATTAATATTTTTTCTAACACCTTGCATTTGGTAGATTAATACTTGAATTTTCATACCATTCTGAGACTTGTAAGGACAGTATCACTATCAACACCACAAAGATAATATCTAGACAGAAGAGGAAAAACCTAAAGGGAGATTCTCACATTCAACTCCCATTGGTCACATTATACAATTGCCCTTTAAATATAATTTTATAGTGATTATAGATTAAGATGGGTTAAAGGTTTAGAAAATAAGGCTGAAAAGCATTGCATATCAGAGTACTGAATGGTACTTTCCAGCTCAAAAAGAAGCACATATTATGGACATGTACAGCCATTAAATACAGATACTTTAGAAAAGAACATCCTGGAAATTTCAAACCTAAGTTTTCACTTCATAGTTACCTATATTCCCTGCAAACATAAAACCTCCGCAACACATAGATTAATGCTATTTTTAATGAATAAATATTTATAGCTTTTACTATGGAAACACTTTTCTCTGAATTCTTCTTTTACATTTCTACACTTCAGCAGCATGGTTTCAGACAAATGGCATGTTGCTTCTCTAATGTCCTTGCACAACTCAGCTTCTGGAATTATGTTCAGAAAAAAAAAAAAAAACACCCAAAAATATGCCTTTGATTAACCAGCAAATACTCAAAGACAGACTCTGCCTTCCACATCTGGTTTCTGAACACATCTGGTAAAAATCACCCAACATTCCTTGAAAAGCTACTTGGCAATACCTGCCTCACATACACACAAGCCCATATAAATACAGACAGTTTTCAAAGTGAGAGTTTTGGACAAAAGTTGCCTTCCACACAGCAGAATGGTGTCTCTGTGCAACATTTGCCAGACCAGGAGGCATTCTTCAGCTTCCTTTTGCAGTGTTATGCAGATACTTAGCACAGTTCACACCCAAGACACAAAATTTGTTCTAGCCACAACTATCCTACATAATTGCTTCTGAAATCACAAACTACAAAAACACATTGTGTATTTGGAGCTAACATTGCAAAGACATTAAGATACACAGGATGATTAGGCTCTGCATTAGCACAACTATTTTCACGAATTCTTACATGGCTTCAAGAGAGCAAGAGCCCAGACTGCAGGAAATTGCTTGAATCCCAAAATGAACAGTGTGTGTATCACAAGGGCAGAGGGCATGCTCAAACAGGCAAACCATGCTAAATACAACAAAACAGATTATTCCAAAATGCAAGATACAGACAACAATTCTTCAGTTTATAGTTTACAAATTAGTGAATACATTTACAAAGAAAATCTTCAGATTAATTAGAAGTATTCTACTAGTGAATTGTTAGTGTCAAAGAACTGCATTTTCCATAAAGATTCTTAAGTTTAAAGACTTATTCCTCATTTCTGTAAAATCTTTAGCCTTAAGGTACAAATTCCTCTTCCATTCTCCCAATCTCCTCTTCCATTCTCTACTTCATTCATAGTATTTGGCACTATTTTTTCTTCTATGTTTTGACTGACTGTGGTGAAAATAAAGCTTTCTGGGACTGCATCAATAAACCATGACACAAATGGACTAGTCCCTCTTCAGTACACATCACCACAATACATATTTTTGTCTTGTGAACAATACAAACACCAACAAAACATACTTAAAGTTATCAGCTAACCTGGTCATTAGCTTTAATAAACTAACGGGTTATGAGTACTAATCCCAGCATAAGAATCTGCCTTAATATCAGCTGAAACACCATTACTACAGGTGATGTCGGTATCAACTAAGAAATTTGTGGGAATCCACTCATTTTAATGGGTCATCTGTTATTCAAGAGACATGGCAGTCTTTGAATAGTGCTAACTCCTGCTGTGCTCAAGACATGTTTAAAGAAAAGCCTGAAATTTCACTTTAGGAAGCCCATTAGGGTGGCCAGGGAAGCACTGTCCCATCCTCAGACACAGCCACCGTGGGCCCTGAGCATGGCACGCTCCCTCGCACATGCTGGCTCAAGGAATTATCATTTGCCCCCAGTTCAGTCTTTCAGCCTTTGTGAACAACAGATAAGCTGGTAGGTGGAAGGTTTATTGCCTCCTTCCCCTTCTATTGGTTTCTACAGTTTGCAAGCAGTCAGCTGACAGAAACCAGATCAGAGGAAGACAAATTCAATGTCCCTTCCGAAGGTCCCCTTCCTGAAGCCTCACCACGTCAGCCACACTAACTGCATATTTTTATTCACCAAAAGCTTTTCATATTATTCAGAGCCACAACTCTAGGAATAGCAATAAGCCATATTTTTTATTTCCAATATACTTGTAAAAAATGGTGAGGATAACCCATTTTCTTATGCTTATATTTCAGTTACTATTTGGATGCATTTTCTCCACACGGAGACATGAACAATGATCATGTTGTGTTATCCATCGTTAACTTATTCTTCCTACCCCAAGGATGAAGACAAATGGGAGCCTGATACAACCTTCTGCCATCAATACCTACAAAAACTCATTGAACATATCTACCTAAAAGTCAGTATAAGCAGCAATTTCCCCAGAATCCTGAAAACCTTACAGAGCCAATTGTGCTGCAGTCTTTTGGCATTTACTTTTTTTCCCTACACACACTCTAGAGACACAGAGGACTATGTAGAAAACCTTAATTCAGATGGGGAAGAGAAATTGAATATATTTTCTTTTCAAATCTTTCTATAATTTGCTTTCATAAAACTAAGAGTCCTCCTCATAAATATAGCTAAACATTATGGTAAGAACTGTGGAAGCAACTTATAATGTTACAGTACATTGCTCCCCACTTTAAAAAAAAGAAGGTGGCAGCAAAGCAAAGGCAGCATCAGCTGCTCCCCTTTTCCAAGGTAGGGACTGAATGCACATTGAATTAAACATTAGTACAGCTAGGAAAACTGACAGTGCTGCAGAGACAGCTCTTTCTAAACCTGTTTTCCCATTTGGCAGTCAAAGTGTCTGCTCCAGTGCTCATGTGCACAACTGACATTGAAGAAGACAACACAAATACAAGTTTCAGGAAAGCATTAGAAAAGAAAAGAGCAAGCTGGATGAAAGCAGTTTTTTAACGGTATTCCATGAAATTTGTGCTATATAGATGGAGTCTTTTTCTTCACGCCATATTTGAAGGCGGAAAACAACATGCTTTCCCAAGTGGAAGAGTGGCTGCCAATACAGTCTGCCATACTGTGTGAGACTGTCAGTTATTAACACTAGAGTCTTTGCTGCAGTCACCACCCTGATCTAATAAAATAGATACCCTAAAGGAAAATTCAAGGTACAATCACATATTGGCAATAACATAAAACTATACTGAAACAATGAGAAGAAACACACCAACCAATACACCTTTTACAGTCCATTTTGCACTGTCTCAGAGGGTCAGGCCACCTCCCAGGGAAGCAGCATACTGGGAATGGAGTACAGAGATTTCCAAGTAATTGAACATATTCTGAACCCAAGTGGACCTGGCTAGACCAATTCTGCTTCAAGCTAGTTTTTAACTGCTCTATCAGCCATACTGTCAATCCCCAACACAAACAAATCACCAAAGTAATACCATGCTGACAGAACATTCGATAATTTAGTTTAAGTTCAAAATCCCGTAAAGTCCTGCTTCTTTACACTCTACCAGCTTACCCACACCTATATGTACAATATATTGAATAACATTCAATTAGCACGCCTCTGCTCAAAACAGCAACACAAAAAACAAAAGCATAGATAAATCAAGTTTCTAGAGAGAAGAACTCAAAAGCTAGGAAAGTCCAGAATTATTGGGGTTTATCCTACATTTCATTTGGTTCTCCATTAAATGTATATCGTGATAACTCCTAAAAGGTTATGATCTTTCATATAACCTAAAGGTTATGACCTGTTTTCCTTCCCAGGATTAGACATACTCGCTGAACAGAATGGGAGATATTTGATTGAAAAATAGCTGTGCTGTTTTACATTTAGAGCATTTTCTTCTATTCTCAAACAGCTTGCAGAGTCTGGCTTTTTTACTACTTTGAAGACAGAAATAATCTCACAGGTTTTCCTACCCTGCTTATAGCTATGCTATTGACATGCTTTAAAAACATAGAATAATTTCATAGCAATGCAGGAGACATAAGGCATGACTTCCTTTTATCAGATAGAACTTCAAGCAAAGACAAAACAAAATCCTAAGAATCACTGATCTGGGCAATTCTGTTCCAAGAACTTTGGTTTTGACTGACTGTGGTAGTAATGAAAGATATTCTGGTCTTCAGGTGCATCTTTCACCCCCACACATATCCCCTTACTTATTGCTGTCTCAGATGGGCAATGTGGTTTGTCCTAAGCTAAGAATACCTGGTGGACATTGCAGAGGGAACTGTCTGGGTGTTCTCATTCCAGAGATAGGGAAGCTGATATGTTGCTATTGACTTTGATGCACACTGGCCTGAAAATTATATAAAACACATTGTTAATATTTAAATACATATTAACAATAAATCTAAACATAATCATCCACCTAATCATTGCGTCCTTCTCATGCCTGGCTGAGAGCCTTACCTGTACTACTCTGCAACACTGGTTTCAGTTACAGCTGTAAATATGTAATGCTTTCACAAAGAGACTGAGAATCTCATACTGAATAGCAGAAATCTGTAATGACAGCAATTTCATGCAGTGATGACAATTCCCAATACAGCAGGGGTGGAACCCAGTTCTCTTCAGCAGCATTACCGAACTTGTCTTGAAACGATACTTTGAATGAGGCAGGAACCTCATAAGACATCCTGGTTCCCACATTCACAAAAAATGAGAGGAATTCAACAACTACATGCCT